CCTTCTGAAGCTACGAGTTATCTTCTGACTTGATGACTGACCTTATTACGAAATGAATGACTTTCTGATACTACGAATGGTTTCTGACACTATGATCGACTTTCTGATGTACGTTTAGTACAATATAACCAACGTTCTCATGCTATGAGTAATCATCTGGCACTATGATTCGTTAATTGGCTACTTGACCGATTTTCTGGCACACGCGAACGTTTTAGCGCGAGACTGGTGTGCCGAACGTGTGACTCCATACTGTTACACCAAGACTGGTGACCTGGTAATGAAATTGACGTTCTGGTTTTCGGAATGATTTTGTATTCAATAAGATTGACGTTACGACCCAAATGTTTCGTTTTTTTTATTATGACGATTTGTTGTTGTCACAGACTGATGACACTAATGTTCGACTGACAGCATTAAAGGATGATTGGTGGTTTGATAATGATGTTACTACCAGCTGCCGTGAGGACGGAGGACGGACTCGCAAAATGACTCTCAGACAAATGGATGATGTTGTGACTGTTATTCCCATTCCAGTTCCAACGCCCTAACATTACGGAACTTCCCATTAACTGACTCTTCGGTTCCAAAGCTTTATTTCAGGAAAGGTATCTTGACACAGATACTGTAAATCGACGGCACTGCGAGGGAAAAGTTAACAGATTAACACAAACTGACATTTACTGCCCGGAGATACGCAGACGGACACGGCTTTGATATTATGCAGATGGGACTCAAGTTTACTGACTGAACTAAACCGCTGCCATTTAGCTAACCGCAAAATAAAGTTGAGGTTTCCGTACACTGCCGACACCTTCAATTTATTTGGCTAATAGTACGTGGACTATCATTATCATCAACTTCTCTTGAAGTGACCATCAGTACAAACATATATACACATTTACCACTGATTCTGCTAAGTATTAAGAGACTGTAAGATTAATATGAATTCCTGATAATCTTAAAAATGCATTTCACTGATGTAGAGTTTCGTGGCAGGCGATTTGTATGCTTTGCATTCCATATAGTACTGATATGGAGGCAGTTTTAGGCAGGTTAGGTCATGTCAGTAGGCTCATTCGGTCATAATAAATATATATGTATATATATATATATATATATATATATATATATATATATATATATATGTATGTATATATATATGTGTGTGTGTGTGTGTGTGTGTGTGTGTGTGTGTGTGTGTGTGTGTGTGTGTGTGTGTGTGTGTGTGTGTGTGTGTGTGTGTGTGTGTGTGTGTGTATGTACACATATATATGTGTGTGTGTATTTGATATATATGTGTATATACATGTATATATATATATATATATATATATATATATATATATATATATATATATGTTTATATATATATATAATCTATCTATCTATTCATCTATTAAATATGTGTGCGTCTGTGTGTGTTTGTATATTGTATATATGTATGAATGTGTCTTTGTATGTATCTATATTTGTTTTTAAAGACTCATCAACAAACATCTAAAGGTGTTAACGTTCTGTTCCTGTCAGCAATCTGGTTCTGATGAACTTATTTTATTATCTGATGTGTTTCTATTCAAGATATCATTTACAAATTATGAATGTAATGTGGAAATTGATACACGCTAAAAAAAGAAATATGTTTTAACAAATGAAATGCCTAAATATCCCTTATAGTAGCAGTTATCTTTGAATAGCGCGACTTGACTAATTTATTTATTGACATATGTCATAGATGTGATTCAGATACTGGTTTGACGCAGTTACTGATGTGAAACAAGTATTTGTTATCGTCAGCCAGGTTAGTCAACTGACAAGAATCTTATAGCGAAACCAGATACGATATCACAATGGATAAGAATTCACGACTGATAACAATATACATTATCCTTCAATCTAGCAGTCTCTTTAGTGGTACATACTCTTTGAGGCACAAGAACAATTTTGACTTTTAATACGGCATTCGATATAATCACTTGTTGAAAGAATATATATACATAATACTTTACATTAGTAACTAGTTATATAACACATTCCGTTGTGGATACCTTGACACAGTCACGCAAAAAATCAGACCACATTTCAGACCCAAATTTTATTAGTCTCACGCCAGAGTTAGAACATGTGACAACTGCTTCTGCTTCGGTGACGCTGCTACTACCTGCTGACAGTCACGTAAGTTCGTCTGTGAGAATAGCCTACAGAACCCTACTTGACAACGACAGATTACCTGATGTGTGGTTTGTACCACTTTCTGAAACCGACCACAGTAGTCTAACCTCAAAACAAACAACGCACAGAGCTCAGGATTTCGCGAAAGGCCGACGCATTTCGACACAAGACCCGAGCTCGACGCTGGTTTCCTCTTACACCCCAAGCCATTCAGAAACCTTAGGAAGTTGGAACTGAAACCGAACCGTGACTGTAGATGAAGCCTGAGGTTACGTGCACCGTTGATGAATTGCTGTCATGACTCAGGAGATTATTCTCTCTACTTGACCAATGACCGATATATCAAAAGGGGAGTCATCGATGACTCCGATGACTCAGATAATCCATTTCCATAACCACTGACCGTTCACTAACATGCTGAGTATCATGTAGTGGCTGATTCTGTAAAGGCGACATCAGACACACAAGTCATATGATTAACCTGAAGGAGTGATAGATACCTTCCAGATTGGGGGGGTGAGGATGCACTCCAGACTGGTATCTGAAGCTGAAAGAATGACAGCCTGAAAGAAATTCAGTAAGTATGCGTAAGAAGGAGGCGAAGACGGCAAACGGAATAAGAAGGAAAATGAAAATGCAAGAGAAGATAGCAGAAAAGAATGCTAAACGCCCCGGACCCTTGCCGATGTAGGCCTTTCAGTCACTGGTAAATCGCACCAAACCACGTTGCGATGTTGAACCAAGCTTTTGCAAAAGGTCTTTGTGCCTTTTCGTTCTCGCGTGAGTAAATATGTATTAATCTGCAACATTGGTCGAAAAAGATGGTTTGTACGTCCATTTTCTTTTCGTCTGGAGCTTCTCGGTAGTTATATATACATACATGATATTCATACTTTCAGCAATGTAAATATGGATTTTAAAGAATTTAGATATCGGAATCGTTTGTGTAAATTCACTTCAAAACTAATAATAAAATAAGTGAATACATTTTTCCCCAATTTTCGGCAACAAAAACCAAACAGCACCTTTCTCCCTGCACGCAGACGGACCTCTTAACCACGACCAGCCTGCATACGCCCAGGTTCCAGGCATCCGCGTCTATGGCATGATGTGTATTCGCAGCAGTTTCCGCCGCGCTGGCCGTGTGGCGAGAGGTAAGGTCGTGTTTATGTTGTGATTCCGTGTATTTTTCTGGTTTTTCTTTCATATCGTGAGTTTTATTTTAATATTTGGTTTGTGTTGATTTGTGTTGGTTCGCTTCGTAATTCGAAAATTCTAGAAATGATTCCTGTATCATGATCTAAACTTCGAATAAAAAGTTAGGCGTGGTCACAAATAGATACTGCCAAGCCTGAGATAAGACACTAAATAAACATAGCAGACTGATGTTGATAGCACAGTCAATATAGTCAATGAAAAGGCAGCACGCTCACCACAGATAGTAAGCGCAAGGTAATGCAGTTAATCAGTTCAGATCCTCCAAAGCAACTCTCCCCCACAGACACCAGGTTGGCCTTCCCTTGGGGCAGAGTGTCCGAAGCCCTGAAAGACGAGAAGATTCTCCAGGACCTCTTAGCTGACGCCCCTTATGACCACGCCCCCATCTTCTAGACTCAATCCTACCAGCCACGTCCACGCCCACGTCTCCTGCAAGAGCTGTGGGCGCGGCAACATCTCGGACCATTTCGTCAAGGCGGACATGCAGGCGTGTCCTTTAGTCATGATTTTTTTTTTCTTCACGCGGGATTCTTTGGTGTGACGGACGTGTGGCTTCCAGGACTCGGCGCTGAGGAGGTCATTCCCTTGACCTTTTTTCCGGCGAGATCGAGTCCTTGAAAGGTCATTCTTAAAGAGATTGTCTCCCTGACCTTGCCTCGAAAGGGGTGGCGAGGGGTCAGCCGTATTTCGTTCATTGGGGGAAACGGAGGGAAAACTTTATTATTTAGTTGTTGATCTATTGACAATTGAGAAAAAGTTATGTGTTGTATTTCTATTCTAGTATTTCCTATTATAGAATTATTATCCATACATCTCTGCAGTCTTTGTAAATTATAAAACAAATACAAATAATATATTATATTTCCTTTTTTTGTAAAAAAAAAAATATGCTTTTAATGTCATCTCATGTGTTATAGCCCTGTCTTGTAAATTAAGAGGAATTTCCCATCACCTATAACTGCAAACTAATTGAAATATTTATATATTTATCTGATCATCAGCCGAATAACACATTTAAAAATAATGACATTATGTTTTCGATCTTCTCGTCGAGCCTGTGAGCTCAACCCTAATTTATCTGTGATGCAATATTTTTTTGGTCTTGTAGCCCTTTTGTTGTTTTTAATAATATTTAATGTGTACAATATATTCATAGTACTTTATATACACGCAAACTAATAAAAAAACACAGACACAGACATTAACATACATGTAGAAGTAGTTGTTGTGGTATTTCTGTCCATATGCAATTGTACTGTACATAAATGAACGGCGAATGTTACTGTGTTATAATGCACTGATGTTGAACAACTGGAATATCTCATAATATCTCGTTATCTTTCAGCCTTATCATGCATCGCCAAATGTACAAAGTTGACTGAGTAAATGTAGTTAAATGAAAAACTAGTGTATTTAACCTGATTCTGTAACATGAACAGCAAGAGCCTCTATATAATGACATGACATAGGTGTGGTTAACAGAGTGAGAGAGAGAGAGAGAGAGAGAGAGCGAGAGAGAGAGAGAGAGAGAGAGAGAGAGAGAGAGAGAGAGAGAGAGAGAGAGAGAGAGAGAGAGAGAGAGAGAGAGAGAGAGAGAGAGAGGAAAGGAG